ACAAAATAAGTTTTAAGAACATGGAAGGGAGTTTTTTTTTAAGGGGGGAAAATCATCGAATGACTGCTCCCGCCTGGGTGAGGCGGGAGGGAGTGTCAGACTCTTACTGACTAAAAACCACCCCGTTCCTTCTCCTGCACGTCGAGCCGGAGCCCCGGTTACCCGTTAGGTTCTCCGCGACACATGGAAGGGAGTAGGGCAGTACCGATGGAGTTTCTCGTTCGTTATTCTCCATTCAAAACTACACGTTGGAACGAGCGCCTTCACTGACAATTCAATTTGACGTTTCCAAAGAGCCGTAATATCCACTTTTTACTATTTATGTTACGAGTCCCATGTAATAGGGGGTGAGCCTATTGCCATATACCGGGCACAATTCCAGACTCCGTGCTACTACTGAGAATTTTTAAATAGCCCAGTAATACTTTGAAAGACAGAAATAAATGGATAAAAATATTTGAAGGTGTTGCAGAACGGTAGTCATGACCTGGAACTGAGAAAAACTAACCAAGAAAGAGGAATTTGACAGAGGACCAGGCAACAACGCTTTCTGACAATCTTGATTTTCTAATTTAAAGTTGCAATCTCCAATCGACCTATTAAGCATGGAGATTATCTTCTATATAAATAAATATTAATTTCCATTTGTTAGTCTCGAATTAACTCGGGAACCGACTTGGTTAATTTTGGTATTAAAATATTCGTGGAAGTCCAGGGAAAGTTTAAAAGGTGAGAAAAAAAATCAAGTCGGTACGAAGTGTCGGATCAGCTACGTATTTTTTTTATAGCATAAGCCCATGGACACCCGAAACACCAAGGCGTTACAAGTTCGTTACCGACCTTTTGGGAATTGGGAATTTGAGGATCGTTGAAGATTCGGAAGATTGGGGAGGGGGGTAATTGGGCCTCCGGTAACCTCACTCCCAATACGAAACACAACGCAAGCGTCGTTTCACGTCGGATTTCTGTGAGGCCGTGGTATCACTCCGGTCGAGCCGGCCCATTCGTGCCGAAGCATGGCTCTCCCACACTTAAAAATAATATTAGAGGATTCCCGAAGGCCTTGCTATAACTACATTTCCGTTCTTATCTATTATATCGTACCAAACTATACCAGAGGTACAAATACACCATTCTCTACACAACGTCCTTGGTAAGGGCCGCATCGATTACCATTCACGACAAACATTATGAATGAATATTATGTAAGTATGTACATACAATTGTTTTTCAAAAACGACCTCGCTCACGTACACCACTCTGTTGGTATGTAAACAAAAATATAATAATAAACAACACAATAAAAAATTAATAAATGGCTGCCTGGTTTGTGCGTGAAGCGTGGTTGGAAACACGTCTGCCAGGTTAGATATCTCAGGGCTCTCAGACCTGGGTGCTTACTCTTGAAACCAATCCCAATGTCAATGCAATTTCAATCCAATAAAATCTCAATAATTATTCAATTTCAAAATTGTACAACCCCTTTCGTAGCTGTTAAAATAGCATTTAGAGTACGGAATATAAAACCAAACTCAATACAATTTAGTTCATTTAATATCCACGCAATACGGATGCAATGGGCGCTAGTGTTGCAACTCAAGATGCGAAATTTCACAATACCAATGTCGATCGATCGGAATTGGACTCAAGAGTAAGCCCCCTGACCGGGGCGGTGGACAAGGGATAACCATACTGCCTAATCCTTTAGTTGTGGTGAGAGATCTTCAGTTATTAAGGTATTATCACAGAAATTCTTAATTATATCTATGGAGTTACATGACACAAATACAACCCTGAAGTAAGTACGACGAAAGGCATTTTTTTTAAACATTAAATAAGCTCTTCATTACGAATCCGACAGACATTGCTAATTTGTGACTCTCACAGTTGACTTTCATGTCGAAATGTAATTTCGACTTTGAATTTAATTCTACCGTCCAAGCTGTTTGATATCAAACGTGCATTTTTCATTAATTATAATAATTACTAGGTATTGTTTAAAAACAATAACACAGTGAAAAATGGCGATAACTTTAGTTCAACAAACCTCGCGACACTGACCTACTATCGGTAAAAAAGTTCACACGAAAATCGTACATATCTCCTTGTAAATAGAGACTAAAATTGTAATTACCACTTCAATCCAGACTGCAATACATTAAGATAATAGGTTATCTGTACAGTTTGAGTTAGTTAATTGAGGTTTATTCTCTGTTAGTGTTAGGTTCCAATTCTATTTTAGTGACTAGATAAAAAAATGTAAATAAATAGTTGACCTTTTACTTCAAAATCTTATCTGTTATTCTCCGAAAGGGGGCAGAAGTGCATCTACATAGTACATATCAGAAACAATGTAAAAGTTTTCGTATGTTACAATGAGTTCTATGTAGGTACTAGAGATAAAGGGTCTTTTGCCAATTCGCTTCCATCGCGCACAAATCCAGCTTTACAGCTTAGTTACCTAGTGAAGTATTCCAACATTACTGATTGGGAAACCTATTAGTGATAAGTAAAAATTACATATACCTATACTATCTTTTATATGCACCTGTATTTACTCTTTCTGCAATACACTGTAACCCTTTAATTGATAACAACCTCGTCCATGGCCAATGCAATCTAAGAACTTAAGCAGAGCTCAGTAGTTAAAAAAGATGTCGTACCTAAGGCTTTTTAATACCTGAAGGGTTAGCCAGAATTACATATCATTTTAGATGCAATCAATGTAACAATCTTCTGCTTCTGCATTTCACTTTCGCAAAATTCCATCAGTAATTTGCCTTAGAAGAGGGACCTTTTCTTTTCCGTGCGCGCCTCAAAGAGCCATTAGACCACCACAGATGGGGCCCATGCCGATTCGGAGTCGCGGAGAACCTAACGGGTTACCAGGGCTCCGGTTCGACGTGCAGGAGAAGGAACGAGGTGGATTTTAGTCATTAAGAGTCTGACACTCCCTCCCGCCTCACCCAGGCGGGAGCAGTCATTCAATGACTTTCCCCTTAAAAAAAAAGACTGGCGTATTATCAGTGGTTCCGTTGAGGGAACGAGATCTCGCTAGACGACTTGTATAGCTCTGTTTCTTTCCCTCAATGGAACCATTCTGCCTTTAGGACGTCATAACCCCGCAGGACCTCATGTTCAACGGTTTCACTTGCAACTACTAAACCAACTGGACCAGACCCATAAATAAACAAACGCTACTGTTTTATCAATATTGAACTAGTTTCTAGGTGATAAGAAGGTCGCAGTACATTGTATGGGAGTCAACCTTTGCACACCATGACTGATAACAGTTGGTACTTAACAATTAACATAACAACACGTCTATCAATCCTCAAAGCGATCGACAGGTCAGAAAATTAAACCTAAAATTACTACAGGGGTTCATTTTAGTTAACGGTAAAATGGGGTGAATAGGGATCGAGAGGTGTTTAGAGACAGAAGAGGTGTGAATCGATACTATGAAGAATTTCCCAATATCTACATATTTACCCCTCTTCTGTCTCTATTCACCTCTTGATCCCTATTCACCCTATTTTACGGTACTATACAAATCGAGATGAGTTATCATCGAGTTCATTTAAATCTGTACTGATAATAATTTGGTTTTTCCAACTTCTTGGGGATGGTTTCTTGACCGATATTTATGTCTATGGGTTACCCGAAAGAAATTTCGTCTTAAATGCATTTTTCTTAAGAGGAGAAAATCATCCAATGTCTTCTCCCGCCAGAGGAAGGCGAGAGTGTCAAACTCATACTGACTAAAAACCACATCCTTCCTACTTCTGCTTCGGAGCCCCGGTAACCCGTTATAGGTCGTCCGCAGCTCCAGGGTCTTCCATGCTTATCATTTCTTTTCGAATAATTACTAAGATATACACCCGTAATATAACGTAATACTTACCAATTCGGTAAGTTTACATACTTCCCAGTCACGATATTTTATGACTTATTAACTCGTGCATCGTAGTAATTAACCGATTAATAAATATTAAACCCTAACACTTCAAGTGAAATAACAATTTTAATTCAACATCGAGTATGGATCTTTTTTTTTTTTTTTTTTTAAGGGGGGAAAATCATCGAATGACTGCCCCCGCCTGGGTGAGGCGGGAGGGGGTGTCAGACTCTTACTGACTAAAAACCACCCCGTTCCTTCTCCTGCACGTCGAGCCGGAGCCCCGGTTACCCGTTAGGTTCTCCGCGACATCGAGTATGGATCTTATGACATTTCGCTAATTTGAGACGCATGAGACTTTCTACCACTATTATATGTTGGTTCATGGTTGAGTTGTCAATATTCTCGAATTCATCAGTTAAAGCATTCCTGGTTTCGTCATGATGTATTTCTTAATATTATTGAAGAAGTGATGGAATGAAGAAAGTATTTTATAGAGATAGTTTCTTTATAGATGATTCCTATCAACTCATGGTAGATGTGGTCTGTGTCTAAGTAGTAAGTAGATACCCAGTTACTTGGCTTATATTGATCAATATTGATTGAAATTGAGTTGTCCGAATAAAGGCAATTTGATCTTTTCTAGGTAAGGACTTGAACTATAATTAAAATTAAAGTAAAATAATTAGGTATAGAGGGTCCAGTTCTTCTCAATAAAGTTGTTAGTATAACCTGCGATTTAAAAAATCATTAAATTGTACCTACCTTAATGTTTTTTAATCTTATTTTAGGTAGGTATAGGTAAGGTAGGTACTTATCATATGGATTTTTTGCAAGAGACTAAAAAACGTCAATCCTTGTTAAAAGAAAATATGGAAAACGATCCCTCTCTTCATGTACTTAATGTAATGCGTAACTTCCAAGCGTTAATATCTTAGTTATATCTTACATCCGAGCAAAGTTTTTGTCCTAACTACTGCAATACCGGTACAGTTACGCTCCGTGCAACAAGAATGCAACGGCCGACCACAAAATGTCATTGACACTTGACATATAAAATCAAAACATTCTAAAAAAAACAATAATAAATTAAATTACTTACTTTTAATTGTTTAGGCACACTGGTCACAGATATTACAGCTGCATTTCTTTCGAAATTAATTACAGATCTTAATCCTAATCGCACGATAGACAACGCCATTTTGTTCACAAATTCTCAATTCAAATAGTCACATAAACAAAGCTTTTCTTCTTTTTTTTTCAAACAATTATTTCGAACATCGCCGAACGCATGCGCGATGCAGTTCTCGATAGCTATTGGACTGATTTGAATTGGGAACGCGCGCTCGGTTTTATTCGCCCTATGGAGGTGAAAGGGAGGGGTGCTGGCTGGATGGAGACATGTGCTTGTTTTTAGGGCCTATGACCTTTTTAGCAGTGCAGCGTATACAGCGCTTTGTTTAAAGTAAATATTCAAGTTTCAGGTGCAATGCTTAGAATTTCAAAAGTTCACAAGGTAACAGAGAACAAGGTAGATTTTTTAAACATTGTCCCTTACTAGGATTTTCTCCTGTGTCCTGGGTGCGTTTACAAATTTACCTTTGACACTTAGACCCGGGTCAACAATATGTAAATCAGATAAAAAGTTGCTCCGTGCGGGAATCGAATCCGTAACACGGTGCGAGCAAGCTGCCCAGCCACCGCGTCAAAACCGTGCAAAAAAGATTTCTGAAAGTTTTTATGAGGAAAGAAAAAGGAATTCATGATTTCATGAATAGGTACCTATAATAATAGGTAATACCTACTACCATAATAATAGGTACTACCTATAATAATAGGTAATACCTATTCAATAAGCCTCCTTCTGGCAGTCGGCTAGTAAACAAAAATAAATGTTGAAGAAAGAAGAAAGCGCTGACTACAATTCAGCAGCTTGATGCACGAAACTATACGCTCATAGTAACAACAATGGTTTAAGATTTTGGACTCTACTCGTTTGGAATAAGAGTGTTTATTTCATTGCCACTTGTTGCTCGTGAATCTATCGTATCGTGTGTAATGGGATAGGAAGCAGACAGTTGAGACAATATTAGAAGTAAGTATATTAGGCTGGGTTGACAAGGGAGCATTTTTAAGCAACAAAATTCATACAATTTGAGGCCTTATAGAAACGTGCAATCGAACCGAAGTTGTGTTATTACAATGTGGCTCTGATTTTTCATTAGGTAGTTGTATTTAGTGCCCCATAAATAAATCTCATATCTTAGCCTATCGATATCAGACCTAGAACTAATAGTGGCAGGGGTCGAAACTATTGCCTTATACAACCAACGTACCTAACTCCAATTTTCGTACTAACGCGGTGGTCATACGCGGCTGCCATTCTCGAGAGTGAAAAATAAAGGTATCTACATCATATACTAAGTAGATACCTATAAGAAAATTAAATGAATTTATAAGCACTTAATATGAGCTTTCTATTTCGTCAGGAAATGAAATGCATAGAAGAACGTTTAACATATGGGCACTCGTTGCCCGTGACCAGGGCCCCCGAAGGACCGACAATTTCTACGACGGACACACACCAACACGATGGCCACCGTATTCCGCGCAACATGTAGTGAGTTCGGTTCAGCTCCACAAATTGTTGTTTCTGGTCTAGTGTCATAAGTGTGTGAACTTCTATGTTTATAAATGCTCCCACAACACAAAAGAAAATCCTAGTGTGTGGGGCAACGTTAAAAAAAAAAACAATAAACAAGTTTTCCCAAGGGCCCCAGCACAGTCTAAAACGGCCCTGTTTACTGTTCAATATGCACAGGCCTTTATCATGCGCATCGTCCCTTCCCTACGCACAGTCCACCACGTAGACAATTCCTGCAATTTGGGTTAATTACAACTTCTCATAATTAGTCAATATTATTGTTTACGATTAATGACACACATTTGATTTTTTCCTTATTTATTTATCGTGATTTATTCTCCGATACAGCGTGGCAGGTCTCACGTAAACATGTTTGTAAACCAAATGTTTGTACCGCCGAAATGTTTGTCTGCACGTAACTCCGGAACGGCGGAACTAAATTGGATTATTCTTGTTTTGTATTGTTTGTTATTGTCATGAAATAGTTGGACTATTTATTTGTATGGTTTTGTTTTTTTTATTTGATTAGGTACTTAACTAAACAATTAGTTTATAATTAGGTATTTAAATAACGGCCCAGTAGGTTAACTAACTTTTTCGTTAATAATAATAAAAATAGGTTCAAAAATTTTAAAGTTTGCAGCCTAAGCAATACATTTTCAACTGTTAACGGTTCTCAATTCATTCGTCGAATAGTAGCAAGCACAACTAGGTACCAAGCAAAAGATATGAGATCTGATTCCCTTGTCAGATAAAATATAGTTTTTTAATAGTTGTACGTTTGTCTTGGGCATATCAACTCTATCTAAACGACTTTCGTACAGAAAATTTCTTTAGAATTTAGAATTCTATCATAAAATCACTTTTACAACATTCTTTTATGTAGGTACCTACCTAACGTTAATTAACGATTATAAACGTACCAAACAAGTAATAATAATTAATGTTAAACACATCCATTCAAAATGTGACCTGCGACCTCCATGATAACGTGTGATAAGATGACACTATTGCAATTATTATATTTTAACTCTAGCAACATTTATTACGTAACCAAAGGTCATTGATCCTTCAGACCTTGCTTCAAGTAGGTACCAGTGCAGTTACTTTATTGTATCAACCAATTTTGAACTGTAAATGTTGAGTATTAAAATTGGTTTTGGATTGGATAATAATTATTGTTTACTTTTTAATTTTTATTAATGTTTGTTTCATGTTTGACCTCAAATCTTTTGCGTTGATTTTTAAACGTTAATCTTAATATGATGCCGTTTTTGTTCACTGAAAGAGTAAGCAGAGGCATGTTTGCGTGTACAACTTTTTAAGTGTGGGCCGGAGAGCCATGCTTCGGCACGAATGGGCCGGCTCGACCGGAGTGATACCACGGCCTCACAGAAAACTGACGTGAAACAACGCTTGCGTTTGATTAAAAGAGGCCCAATTACCCCCCCCCCCCCCATTCCCTTTCCAATCTCCCCAATCCCTGAATCCTCAACAATCACCAATTCTTAATCCTCAAAAGGCTGGTAACGCACTTGTAGCACCTCCAGGTATCCATGGGCGATTGTTCATCATCAGGTCATCCGTCTTCTCATTTACCGGCTCTATCACTCATCCCATAAAAAAAGCTGTTCATATTAGTGCGGCTGTCGAGCGAGCAATGCTGCGCTCGATTTTTCGAAATTTGGGATTATGCAGTGTATTTCAGAAGCTGACGGCCGACCTTCAACATTGAAGAGGCACTATAAGAAGAAGAAGAAGTGTATTTCAACAGGCTCACCATGTCGTATTTAAGTAGTAGTAAGTATATTATCGTGTCGCATCTATATCGTTGTTATATGACGCGAGGTAACAAACAAAACGCTATTAGTATCACCTACATGCTATTAGACGAGAATGTCCAAGTCTATGATATTTGATCACATGGTCCGGCTGTAGCTATGACTATAGAGCACAGACATAGATAGACATCTATATCTGTGCTATAGAGTCATAGAAGTCCCGACGGCTTAGTACGAGTCTTTTTCGTTTAAAGTAATCGAAACGAGACGGCATTCGGTGCTCTGAGGTCCAAGCACGAATAACTATCGCATTCGTATCGTAACAAGCTCAAATGAACCAACCAATCAGAACGCTTAACTCGCTCGATACTATTACGTTACGAATGCGATAGTTATTCGTGCTTGGCACTCTGAAGCCTTAGTACGAGTTTGATTTACGTACTAAGGCCTCTGATTCGTTTGTTCATTGGCGCCGGCCAATCACAGCGCCGAACGCGTACTTGTTACGATTATTTTAAACGTAAAATTAACTCGTACCAAGGCCTCAGCTGTAGAGCTGGAACATATTATCAACTACTCTTATAAATACTCCAAATGCTTAATATTTCATAGTAGGTATAATTTTTGTATCTAGAAGTAATTGAAAAGCTGGAAATTAATTAAATTACTTACATAAAATAACAATGCCCGAAGGGGTAGAGAGAGGTGCACATTACGGCACTTAATGCCACCGTACAATGTAACACCCACTTTTCACTATTTATGTTATGAGTCCCATGTAATAGGGGGCTCACCTATTGCCATATACCGGGCACAATTCCAGACTCCGTGCTAGTACTGAGATGTTTTTTTAAAAACCTAGTAATACTTTTCCCAACCCGGGAATCGAACCCGAGACCCCTTGCCCGGCAGTCGCACTTGCGACCACTCGGCCAATGAGGCAGTCAGTAAATTACTTACCTATCAGAAATAAATACAAACAAATAACTTAAACATATTTTATTAATATGTATTTTATACTCCATGAAATCTATATCGTTTTCGTCCTGAACTAAAATGGTACTGTCTCGGTAATACAATAGTTTAACAAAGAAATAAAATGTTTAAAAAAAAATAACTGGTGAACCATTTTTTTTGAACTTTGCCCCACACTAGGATTATCTCCTGTGTCGTGGGTGCGTTTACAAACATACAAGTTCACATACACATCACACCCAGACCCGAAACAACAATTTGTGGATCACACAATGTGTTGTTCCGTGCGGGTTCGAACCCGCGACACGTTGCACGGCAGCCGGTTGCTCAGCCACCGCACCAACAGTGCAGTCATCATTGCAAAAAGCAAAGATGTATTTCTCGTCGGGTGGCAAGTGCGATGCGAAGAGTGATTACAAATATACCTACGTCTAGTGTTTCATGTGCATATATCCACGACCATTTTAGATTAAAAATAAAATGTCTTTTTTTTGTTTTTACTTAATACATCGAAAGTATACTCAAGGCAAGTTGTTTAGCCGCGAGACGAAAGCGAAATAGATTTCTTCACGGTGTACATTGTGGCTATTGCTATTACTATTAAACACATATTATAACTTTATATACACGAGTAAATCAATACATAGTATAAAACAAAGTCGCTTTCGCTGTATGTCCGTATGTATGCTTAGATCTTTAAAACTACGCAACGGATTTTGATGCGGTTTTTTTTAATAGATAGAGTGATTCTTAAGGAAGGTTTGTATGTATAATACATGCATATTGCACCCGTGCGAAGCCGGGGCGGGTCGCTAGTATTGTATATATTGCATGTTTTGAGGCAAATAAATATTGCGTAAGTTTTTACAAATAAAAACAACTGCCATATTTTAAACATGATTTCGACAAAGTATTATGTTTTCGGCTTACTCACGTAATAATTTGACGAGGAACTCAACTATGAGAAATGCTGCTCATGAATATGAGCCTCTAGCATGGCTTGAAACTAGTCAAGTTCCTCGTCAAATTATTACGTGAGTAAGCCGAAAACATTTATTTATTTATTTATTTATTTACTTACTTACATTTACCATTACAGGATGACCCAATGCGATAAATGCGAACTATTTAATCCTGACTTATTGCTTATAACTAATTACAAACAAAGCATTCCTTGTGAATTCACTCAGAGAACAGTAGAATAAGTCCGTCTCACTCGCTATGAGGTTGAGCGTGCGGAACGCACGCGTCAGCGGCGCGTCCTTCAGAAGGTTAGTCCGAGAACGCGGTTCCACCAGCAGTCGTGGCTGTCGTCGTCGCCACACGTACCTGTCCGGAACATACAGACTCACCTGGCTTAAAATAATTGCATTATGCACTTTCCCTCTTAGCAATGTAAATATATATAAAGCTAATGCAAGATCCCTTCTAACCCTTAGTTCATTGTATCCAACCATACCTAAAATAAATAAGGTGGGATACATTAATGGGTAAAAGGGATAGACTCCGTAATAGCGCTTATACAAATATCTTATAAATTTATTTTGTACCTTCTCCAGCATGAGACTATATTTAGTTTCATGCGGAGCCCAGATGACTGCATTACATTCTAACTGGCTTCTCACCAATGCATTATATAATGTTATAATAGCTTTCACATTAGTAAGCCCTCGTACTGTACGCAACATAATAATTTATTTAGTATGTCTCACGAAAGTTACAATGATTTCGACAACTTACGTATGGAATCTCATTTGCCTTAAATTTTATCTTTAGACTCCCGAATGAAAAACCATGTCTGCATTAAAATGCTTATAAATAACGCCTTGATGTTCCAGGTGTCCATTGGCGACGCCGATTGCTTACCATCAGTGATCCGTCTGCTCGATTACCGGCTTATGCCATAAAAAATATATTTAGTAAGTAAGTGTTAAAATTAAAATATATTAAACAAATATCTAAGTAAGACCCATCATCCGAACCGCCATACAGATCTAATTGACAAATACTACGAGCGTCTCTCTTGTACATTAACACATTACATTATAGATGGCGTGCGAGTCGTTAATGGTAAGATCAACTTACCACTCACAACATAATTGTCGGTAAAAAATTAAATATACAATCTAATACAGTTGTTTAAACACTATATTATACAGAGAGTAAACAGACGCTTCTGAAAACGCAGACAAAAAAATAGATTTTATATACTTAATTTTTTTTACATATTTTTGTGATATTTATTCAACATCAGCGTTGAACGGTAGATTATGGAGTGTCTAGTTCGTTCTTCGTCATTCGAATGTACATTTTGAAACGAGCACCTACCTTCACTGACAGACTGACTGACGTACTATTATTTATTTTGTATTTTTTGTGTTGACATTCGTTTTAGAGACTCGGATGCCAAAGCGAAAAAAAAAAATTGTGTTGGCATTTCAAAAGTACCAAATTATGGTTTAATTAAAAGTATTATAACATACATAAAAGAAAACATTTAATTCCTTACTTGTTTTTTTTTTAAAAACTCCTTTTTCACCATTATCACCTGTCTGCGTTTTTTAAAGATTTACGTTTACATTCTATATAAAATTAAAATCTTTATATTATATAATATAATAATTAATTATAACTATTTTACTATAACATAACATAATGGTTAAGCTTTTTTATATTCAATTCTTTCCACTTTGACTTCATCTCCAAGTAGTTTGTATACATATGTCACCACGGTCGAACTTTGGATGTCCATCAACACGAATGATGGAATTGTTTCCCTGTAACAACGAACAACACATAAATTAGAAGTTAAAAATTGTGCAAAAAGAACTGAACATTTAAAAAAACAATTGAATATTTCCGAATTATAATATTCGGTATTTTCGAACCGATACGACCTTCAAGAAAAGAGCGTATTCCTTTTTAAAAGGCCTTCAGCGTATCTGTGACTCTTCTGTCACTACAACCTACAACTTAATTTTGTATTTTATAATTTTATATTAACTGGGATTGATTACTGAACTTTTTTTTAAGGCAGGTACATCATCGAATGACGAGAAGTCATTGGCGTGGTGAGGTGGGAGGGAGTGTCAGACTCTTACAAAGGTTGACTTCGTATTATGTATATAATACTATTAAATATTAAACCAAAGTTTTTTTGTGACAACCTAATAAAATGCCCAACTGAGCAGATTGCAGGGAAATAAGGAGATTTAAAAAAAAAAATAAAAATGATGACAACAATTTGTGAAGATCCATGTTGTTCCGGGCTTCAGTTTGGGTATGTGAACTTGTATGTTAGTAACAGGAGAAAATCCTAGCATGGGGCAACATTCATTATAAAAAAGGAAGTGTAAAAAAATAAATAGATTATGGGTTAATAAATGCAATATTACTGATAGAGAGGTGTGAAGGCTCCAGTAGCTGATCCAGGGTTGATATAAAACTTGTTTTCATGCTCATACGCCTCAAACCGATGCGTGTGGCCTGATATGAGGATGTCCACGTCTAGCTGTCTCTGCACCAGTGCCAGGGACTCTTCGTCACCCCATGGTACAATTTGATGACCGTGAATGAGACCAATACGGAACTGGCCTACGGTAATCACTTTTTGTTCTGGATATGTTGAAATCTGAAAGTAATGTTTTATTTCATGAGATCAATAATATAATAGGTACTTATGTATGATGGGTCTCCTTTGTTTGACCGAAAGGAATTTGACAAATTTTCACTTTGTAAAAAATATTTCACATAATTATTTTGTCAAATATTTCAGTTGGAATAACAGTACATGCAGCAAGCATTGTTTCTCTCATGACTTCTGCGCTGTGGGGCTTGGGCTGCCCTACACGCGCCTTTAAACCACCTGCTCCTCAGTTCGCAGGCCTGTCATTGCCCAATCATTTGATTACAGATAAAATGCCATGATCATACACTATTCTATTACTGGCTACTACCTATTCTTGGTGTTAACTTTTATTATGTCAATTTTATGTCTCATGATAGTCATTATACAATCTTATACCTTATTATATAAAGCAGAACAGTTTGTTTGTTTATACACGCTAGTCTCAGCAACTGCTAGTCTGATATGAAAAATTATTTTATGTGTTGGATAGTGCATTTATCGAGGATGGCTGTGGGCTATAAAACATCACACTACAACCAATACGAGCCAAGCAGTGGGTGAAACCGCGCAGCTGTAGCTATACTCGGAATTTTAATTCGATTCCAGATTTGACAATTTTAGTGTTGCAACGTTATGACAAGTACTAAATAGTGACGATGCGAAATTATTTGATATGATAATGCATATTCGATTCTTCTCGTTTATAATTTTACTCTTGTAAACTAAGTATATCAGGAAATTAAATATTCCTGACCTGATAATTTAGTTTTGACGATTCATTAACGATCTGAGACCTTTCTTTTATAATTATGTGTGAAATAAATAAAAAAATGTAACCATGAAGGAACATGACAAATAAAACAGACAGATGTATTATGGTAATAAGTTATTTTATAAATTTTCGTCGTCATCGCTATCGCTATCCTGTCCCTTTCTGTAACATTTATTATAAAACACACACACTGATTGTTTATCGATTTTTGTGTTCATCACTATACTATTATATGTGGTATCATTATTTCACAAAATGACAGTAGCTATTGTCGAATCTGGAATCTAATTAAAATTCTGACTATAGTGATTAATAATAGCTATTTCTACTGAACAAACCTCATCAAAATCTCCTCTAACAACGTGGACATCGCTGGCTAAAGTCTTCAAATAATCATAGGACTCCTTCGTACAGAGATTGCCGGTACACAGAATGTGTTGTATTCTGCCTGGTAACAGCAGCTTCTTGAACTTCAGAGGCAAGCTACTGCAACGATGAGGAATGTGCAGATCACCAAGTACTAAAACCAACTGAAATAAATAGAAAATATATTTCAATTGTGTTCTGTATATAATCTGTGAAATTTAGGAGTGAGTTACTTATACAATAACTTAGAAACGTTACTACCATTTTTGTCCAATTGGAAACCAATTCACACATATTACAATTAGAAGTAAATTATTCTTATTTCCAGTTTCCGAGGAGCGGATATCAATCTGAACTCGGCATAATCAGACAAAACATCGATTCAATTAAAAAGTGGGTGTCTCAGTTTCCGTGTTCAGACGCTGACAAAAACTACTTACCATGATGTTGTTATTGTAGGATATGGTTAAAGAAAACCGTTATTTACGGTGCTGCACTAATTATGATTCGTGGAATTATAACTGAAAAGAAATACAACTATATATAATTAGTACTGATTACAGCAACCAGAAAACACGAAGCACCACAGAACCAGTTCAACAAATCAGTCTGTCAAATTGACATTTATGTAGCGTCTAGAAATATGTGAACATATTGAGCTTTGAAATACGTTGATTAAAAATAACTATATCTGAAATAAAATAATTGTTTACAGTAGAAGAGTATACTTTATTATTCATATTAATTAGTAATATTATAAAAGTAGCTAAATTCAATTTGAGCTTTATATTCATCATGCATTTGTACCGTTAAGAAAAAGCAAAGCAGGCCATCTACTCTATGCTACAGTGATGTACTTTGATTGCCAAGTAGTCAACTAAAATATTTTAAATACTAATATTAATTCCAAATAGCTATAATTATATATATAATTATATAAAAGAAATCGTGTTAGTTACACTATTTAAAAATCAAGAACCGCTAATTTGATTTGGATAAAAATTGGGGGAGAGGTAGCTTAGAACCAGGAGACAGACATAGGATTCTTTTTATCCTATAGTTTTTTATTTTTTACAGAAAATCACGAACGGGAACAAAAAAAATAATAACGATATCGGGGGCAGAAGCAAGTTGACAATATTTTACAGAAATTAATACCGTATAAAATTGTTCATAATCATTTTACATGTTATTGCATCATTCAAATGATTACACCGAAACTTAGTAGTTACTAGTTACTTACTGCGCTATACGCTAGTTATCCAATATATAGCTGTAATCAAGATTGTAAAAATCGATAAAGATATATTCAATCATTGTTATGTAATGTGTTTGAATTTTATAAAACGTCGTAAACTTTTAATAGTTTGTTTTGGTATCTATTAGTTATCTATCAGATCAGCACTTCACTATCATCTTTAGTCTATGGTACAGGTGCGGATAGAAAAGAAAAATTTCATGGTGTTGTGGGTGACACATATACGTAGAAAAAATTTAGTTTAAGTTAAACACATTGGCACCAACTGCAGGGAAATGGAATCAATGGAATATGAGCTCGCTAGGAACCTTACTCTGTTGTTCTTTGTGGAACGCCTGCTCGACAAAGGCGAGCCGCGCACGTTGCACGATCTTTCCTGCCAGTTTGGTGCCAAAGGATTCACCAAGGAGATGCGACAGATTGCTGGCGGGTCGCAGTCGGGCTTAAAGAAATTCCTGGCTCAATACCCGGCGTTGTTCAGCATAGACGGGGACTATGTTGATATCAACACGTTCCAGAAGCATCCTTGTGGGGCTGGCGCCTCGTCCAACAACGACTACATCGAGGAAGCGAAGGAGTACTTCGCCGGCAAGATGGTCCAGTACGGCGAGGGCACAGAGGTGCCAATCAAAAGCCTCCTAGGGCACAGGAGCCAGGCCTCCCCGCAGGTGCGTCACATCTCCGGTCAGAGGATCAAGGAGTTCAAGGACTTCCTCCTGAAGCACCCGGACACCTTCCAGATCATCGATGACAACGTCGTTCTAGTCAGTGAGAATCATAGGAGAGGTAACGCACACACAAATTCTGAACAATTCCACAATCTACCTGTAGCTAATATTAACACAGACACTGCCCAACAGTTGTTAGACTATGTTGCACAGTGCATAGAGGCCAAAGGGCCTGTGATGGTTGACCAGCTCTTCCATTTAATTGTATCACGTTTTCCACAAGAGTATTGGTATCAGATGTTCAAGTCTCCTGCCGACTTGAGCGCATTCTTAAAGATATTTTCAGATTCATTCCATGTTCAATCAAACTTGGTCACACTAATTAGTAAACCAAAAATACCTGTTATGTATCTTAATGCAAAAACAAAAGCAAAGACTGATATACCAAAGCCTGTGGTTGAAGAGAAACCTGTATCCCCGAGTCCCCCCCCAGTAGAGAGTCCGACTCCATCAGACGGCAAAAAGAGCCCAGCAAACAACAGAATACTCAGTCCTATAGAATCTCCCCGAGGACCACAAGCTAACATTGCCAACCAGACTCTTAAACAGAGAATTAATTCTATTGTCATAAAGAATTTGGCAGAAAACATGGTTCGTGACAGAGTTAATAATCATTTGAATGCTCGAAGTGCTGAAGAAACAAATGGAACTCCAAGTTTAAGAAATAATTTAATGGGTGAGGCGTGGCGTCAGAAGGTGCTCCAGTGCACAACTGTCATAGCTAATGTGAGGGAATGTGCTACACTGATTGAAAGCATTATGGTACCCAAGCGTAATGCTAAGAACATTGTCTCATTTGATTGTGAAGGTATAAACCTTGGCCTCAAAGGAGTGTTGACATTGTGTCAAATAGCCACCATGAATGGTGAAGTGTACATACTAGATATAATGGCATGTCCAGGCATGGTTGTGGAGGGTAAAATTAAGGAACTGTTAGAGAGTGAAAATGTAGTTAAAATTATACATGACTGTAGGAATGATTCAGTCAATTTACACAATCAATTTGAGATTGTTTTGAAGAATGTTTTTGACACTCAAGCAGCGCATGCTGTGCTACAATTGCAACAACAGGGTGTGCCTGTTTACAAAGTCAAGAATCTAAGTCTTAATGCTTTATGTGAATTGTACAATGCTCCTATGAACCCCATGAAAGAACAATTGAAAAATGTATACCGAAGGGACCAACGCTACTGGGCAAGGAGACCATTAACAAAAGATATGATCATTTACTCTGCCTCTGATGTCCTGTCCTTAGTAAACCCAGCTATTTATGCATACATGTCCAGTAATATTAAACCAGAGAATCAGCAGCTGTTTGAAGAACTGAGCAATGAACAAGTATTCATGCACATTCAACCAACTGAAGTTAAATTGCGAAAAAGGCAAAGAAAAATTAACACAGAAGTAGGTGAGTTGAAGCAAAAACTGGCTGAGACAACTAAAAATATTGTGCTGAGCAACAGAGAGATCAGACTACTCAGATACATTGAGCTTACTGAAGAGGAAAAAGAAAAATTGAAAGGTTGTCACAAGATATCCAAGAAATTGGAGAAACTTGAAGCTATTGGACATGATAAAGATTCTGACTCTGATGACGATGAAAGAGAAAATGAAATGGCCAGCCTGGAATCTAACCCATCTGACCCAATATCGTCCCCACACTCCACACAACCACCAAGTCTCACAGAATCTATGCAAATGATGGATGAAATATTGTCAGACACAAACATGGATAAAGTTGAGAAAATCAACCGTCTCGAAGCCATTCTGTCGGCGGTCGCCCCGCTCAGTGGAGAGTTGGAGGATAAATTCTCACAAACAATGGAACAGACACTGCCATTGCTCAAAAATAAGGATTGGTCCAATCTAAGCCAAATTTTGAACTTAGGAGAGCCTGATAGGAAAAGCTGTAGCTGCAGATGCCATAATTCCAATTCTGATGAAGTCAAGTGCAATGATCTCAATGAAACTAAGAAAACAGAGGTTGGTTCACAAACTCTCAGTACAGGGGACATTGTGATCACGCGGATTCACTTCAGGGAGGAAGACAAAGCAAACGAAAGGATCCTCGATGCAACTCCTTCGAGCAAAAGAGTGGGCATCAACAATATGTCTTGATCAACACTCAGATTGTTATTGTACTTCCGTTTTCTGGGTGCCACAGTTTAGTTTTCGGAACTCTTTATGTATGTGATCATTTTATATATTTTTAAGTTTTATGATATTTCGTCCGGCCCCACGCATCTTAAACACTTATTAATTTGAACTAGTTTTGCGGGGGTATGATACCGGTGCGATTGTGCGAGATAGAATAAATTAAGCATGTTGTGAGGTCGTGCATTGCCAAGTGTATAAACGCCTACGCTATATGTTCATTTGAGCGAAGACGGACGCGTACACTCGAATAAATGCAACAGTAATTCGCATAATACAACGGCTACTTAATTCCTTCATCTGGAAATGACAGTATTTGCTGTTTATCAAGTTTGCAGTAGTTTCTTTTATGTTGGCTATTGCCTGTTAAGTATCCCAAACTGAAATGTGATAGATTTCAAGGCCTTTTTTCTCGATCTACACTGAATTTGTAAATAAGATAAATTTTGATAAGCATGCATAATCTTTAATCTTGCGAATCACGATATGATCGAGCATCTTTCCGTTATCTTAAGTCAAATGTATATACCTATTTATTTATTTATACGCTAATGTTTAGTAGAGATCGACACTACTAAATGTATATCGAAGAGGGCAATAATAGGTGTATACAATAGTTTCTTTTTATTATAATGTAAAATATTTATAAACGTTAGATTTACTAGTAGATTATTAATCACGTTTAATATTATTAAAAAGTGGTATGGTATAGGGTTAGCGTTATTGAGAGATGTATTTATAGTAGTTGAGGTGCTTGGAGAAATCAATTAACAGTTTATTTCACGTAGAATGTTATAGAGACATGCGGTAGATCGCGTTTGTTACGTAGACATGCAAATTGACTTTATAACGTACGTGTAACGGAGAACCGCGAAGGTTAAATCCTAACTTTTGTTTTGAAAAATGTGCCTTCGAGTCATATCGACGAATGCCTTTGTATTCAATTAATATTTATGAATTAGTAGGTTTTATACATAATATTAGTAGTTATTCAGTAACACAAAGTTTAGTACGTGATTTGTTGTTTGTGAATAACACTTTGGTATACAAGATTTATATAATGAAGTAAACTTACCACGGAAACACTAACTAGTTAGATAGTTCTCAGAATTTATTAACGTTTTCGTCTTCAGACTTCCTATGTGATTTACGAAAATATCGTAATAGATAACGAAAATATTTCTAAACATGTTGAATTCATTCGAATAGTTTATTTTTGTGTTATCGTTAAGTAGAAATGTGTTAAAAATTAAGTGATATTTTAAATGCTTTTTGCTTAAATGACTATGGCAAAACTGTTGCTTTGTTTAGTACTTTTTTCTACACTGAACAAAAACTTAAGTGGCGCTGTGGGCGTGCCGCGAAAACAGATTTCCTGCACTAGTTGCAAAACTTTGACTGTATGCAATAATCATATGTGATAAAGATAAATATGTTTAGGTAAATTTTGTTATATGTAGAAGCATAATAAAAGTAACATATCCTATTAAGAGTCAATTGTTTTGTAGTAATAACAGTGGTAATGAATTTATCAGATTTTACCTGATTTTGTTATGCTATTATGCATAGCATTTGGTCTCGTGGAACTGAGTTCGCGGCATGTTTACAGTTTAGCATATTATCGTTGTTTACATGAGGCTTAGCAATTGGGTCATGATACCCACTGGTATGTGACTACGCATAAAATAACCTGTCTACTATGCCTATGTTTTTGGTATTTTTTAAATATAAATACATCAAGCACTTGGTGCGAACTTTCGCTCGATTTGCTGACCGATGACTCGTTGTTAAGCCTCATAAGTATACTGTATTACTTTATGTATTTTGTAGACACTGTCATGTATTATTCGTCAGTATTGTATCCTTATTTTTTGAAAATAGTAAACCTTACGTGTTCGAGTTGTCAGTAAGTGCAAACGACGTCCACTGTTTGCACTTCCATCACATATACTCAAGTTTACCTCTTTATTTATATCAGTAATTATATTATTAGGCACTTTTTGATATAAGCATAATGAATTGTATTCAAGTTTTTCGGCCATATTTGTTGTTCGGCTATTAAATTTATACATTTTTGTGCCTTATATTTGCACAATTTACGAAAATATTCTGCGTTCTGCTACACATTTTGTATGGTTTTGTAGAATGTTTAACAGTGCCACTAATATTTTTTGTACTATTTTTAAGGAGCATTTTTGTTAGTCAATGTAAGTGTAACCACTTTCAGTTATTTTAACTTAAAAATCTTTAGAAACGTTTATTTTACCCTACTTACCAAGAGTATAATTGCTTACGACGTGAAAGTCGGTAATATTGTAATGTGGCAAATTGACGGTTAACTAATTTGCGCATTGTTTATGTTTATTTTGAAATAAAAGTTGTAAAATATTTATGGTCTTTTCATGTACTAAAATCTTACCTTAAACCCTTAAAAGCCCAAAATTAATAAAATTGTAGTCTGATTCATTGTACTTACCGCATTGCCTAATTAATGAAGAGGTTGCTAACACTTTGGTAATTTAAAATTCTTTGTTATTAGCATAGCTTGTTCTAGTTTTAACATAGAATACCGGTTTTTTTTCATATTGGCATATTGGCACAGTAGTACCTACCGACAGATATCCTCACGAACTTAACACCACCTAACGAAAAATTTCAAACATATTTACCTGCTATTAAAAAATTAAGTAATGAATGCACATCAAACATACAAATCGGTATAACAAATTAGCAGATCTCCTAAGAATTGTTCTCTATAAGAATCGAACTCGTAACACCTTGCGGAACAACCAGTCGTACGTACACTGCACCAACAATGCAATGTATTATTTTTAAATAGCTTACAAGCTAAAAAGATATACTGATCACGAAAGTTTATTGTTTTTTATCTCCTAAATTTCAGTCATAAAATCTCTAAGACCCAGTTCGTAGTTACATAATAGTATCACAGGTGTGTCGCGTTAAGCAATTCAACATAAGAATGCTGTTTGAATAATAATAAAACATAGAATATCGATGCTTGTTACCTACCCTACGTATCTTATTAATATTCTTTCGTTCGCAGCTCATTATGCTGCGAGTAGAAAGTTCGACAAATCCATATTAAAGATAAATTGTAATGAATCAGCACGCATTTCTTGAATTGTTGACACATCATTTTAATTACGAATCATCAGTTATAGATCTACGTGGAACTAAATATAAATGAATATATATATATTATACTTATTCTGATGTCGACACAACTGTTTTTATTTATTGTTGTATCAATCTGGAGCAAACATAATTCTTTGTAAACCGAAACGCACGATCTAACGGATTTTGATATGGTGCGTTCCAAGTACCAAAGTTTTTTAATTTTAGCAAGAATTTATCTTGCATCTCTGTCGGACTCTAGTAGGTGAAAAAGAAAGCAGCACTCTAACTATATTTCAAATGAGTAAAACCTGGAACTTAAATTCGTTATGTCAAATTTGAATTCAATGTAAACATTTATTTACGAAAAATTTAGTTTATCTTGTATGAAAGTGAATAAAGTGTTGTAAAATATGGAAGACTTCGATGTGTTTACAAATGAAATAAACTTTACAAAACCGTTATTCAAAAACATATTGAATAAATATGTGAATGATGTGCCCTCAACTCCTAACGGACCGAATTATCAAAGTAAGTTTCTGTAAAAAATTGATGAAAAATTCCTATTATTATTTCTTAATGAAGTTATTAATCTACGGGAAATGAAATAAAAAGTATAATGGAGTAATTTATAGATAGTTTTAAATACAAAAGGCTTTTGTTTCCATTCTTGTATGGATGTTGTGATAATTTATTCTTTTTTCAAGGTGGTCGGAAACTTATGGCTGAGGAATGTCTAGCGAGTAACGATGACGTCGGCTGCGCATTCCATTTAAGTGAGGCAGCTTCAGCGTCATTGAGGACCATGGCTGTGTATAGAGATGAACAGTTGAAGGCTGCTGGTATGTTTATAAGCATTCTGTAATAATAAAAAGTTAAGTATTATGGCTTAACTCGTCGAGTACCGGTTTTGTAGACACAATTATAGAACAATAGGTTATGGTCACCGTTGACCGCTTGGTGTTTGACAGTTTAAAACTACAACAATTTTCTTGCAGGGGTGGTCAGTATTGTTATACACTATTCCCGGAAGGTTTATCTTTATGCTACTTATGTTACAAGCCCCAAATTATAGAAAACTATGGTTTCTGGTGTATTTATATTTGTATATTTGAATATGCCAATGAGGTGATGTTCAAAAAAGATCTTTAATCATATCAAAACAAAAAAATTGATATAGAGAATTGAACCCGAGACTCTTTGCCCGGCAGTCGCACTTGCGACCACTTGGCCAATGAGGCAGTATTACTGAGTTTATGCAAAGTATTACTAGGTTTTTAAAAATCTCAGTAGCATGGAATCTGGAAATGTGCCTGGTATATGGCAATAGACTCACTCCCTATTACATGGGACTCATAACATAAATAGTGAAAAGTGGGTGTTAAATTGTACAGTGGCATTAAGTGCTATAATGTGCATGTCTGCCTACTCCTTCGGGGAAAAGGTGTGATGTTATGTTATGTAATAAACATTTTTTGTAAACCATCACCACACTCAGAGAATACCACCTCTATACCTAGTTCCAGTCAGTCATAAGGCATCATTCTCATAGCCTGTGTATTGTTTAATTATAGACTAATATTTCTTTCATTATGTTTCAGGAAACAAATTACACAAGATCACAAGCTACATAAAACCTGTCCAACAAGTGATAGATGATAATCCTATGTAAGTCTTTCTTTTGTTATAAGTCATTGACTGGACATTGAATTGTTGAAGATTAGGTAATGAACATTTTCTATGGAAGAACATAACATAACATCACGCGTGTTATCCTCGAAGGGGTAGGCAGAGGTGTACATTACGACACTTAATGCCACTGTACAATGTAACACCCACTTTTCACTATTTATGTTATGAGTTCCATGTAATAGAGGGTGAGACTATTGGAATTGGAATCTATGGAAGATTAAATAATAAACATAGATTAATCTTCACAATAAATTATTGTAAATGGTTAGAGTTTTAAATCACATTAAGACCACCCATAGATGGGCACCCATTCCCAATAAAAAGATGAAATGTACAAAACGGGGCCTCTTCGAGCTGGGGGCCCGTGGCATTTTGCTGACTTGCCAGCCTGGAGTTACACCACTGTTGCCAATATGGTCTATAAAAGACATATTAGGTAGTACTGGTACTGAATAGATCTTGTGTCTTCAAAAATACCAGACATTTGTTTCATGATATGTGTCATCATCTGTAATCTGTTTCAGTCCAATGCTGTCTAAGTTCTTGTTATCTTAGCTCCTTGCATCACTGTCATGCCAGCAAAATAAATAAATTAGAAAATAACAAACTATTTTTTCCAGACCAAAGAAAGAGAAGAAGCTCCTAGATCTCCTATCAGAAGGCACAGACGACATCACCAACATATTACAAACATTGTCAATAGACAAGGAGGCGCCATTCCATAAGAGATATCTTCATTTCTCCAAAGAGAACAATGTCGACAACTTTCAGAAGATACTGAAAGAGTTGCCTAAAGGTATGGTATAAGTTTGGGATATATTAAAAGTAATTGTATGTTCCTCCCTGAACACAACATAACATCACACCTTTTATGTAGGTATGCAGAGGTGCACATTACGGCACTCAATACCACTGTACAATGTAACACCCACTTTTCACTATTTATGTTATGAGTCCCATGTAATAGGTGGTGAGCCTATTTCTATATACCTGGCCACATTTCCAGACTCCGTGCTACTACTGAGAATTTTTTAGAAAACCTCAGTAATACTTTACCCGACCCGGGAATCGAACACGAGACCCCTTGCCCGGTAGTCGCACTTGCGACAACTCGGTTAATGAGTTAGTCCTCCCTGAGAAGTAAGCTAAATAATGGTGAATGACTTTAAAAATAATATTTTAGTACTTTCAGAAAAAAAATTACTTAACTTAGATACAGAATTACATCTTATTATTACTGGATCATATAGTATGAAAAAAATGTTAGTAAATATAGATTATAGTACATCCTCAACTCTTCTGGGAAAAATGACGAATCTCTCATTCATACAAACTTGACTATGACGACTGTTCTAAAAAAGAATCATCCCATTTGGTGCAGTCATTCATGAGTTACGCGTCGCACAAATATTCGGCGTTACATTGCTATTTATAGTATCTATGCTAGTAGTAATTGGGAATGAAATTAGGTCAATTCAAATTTATTTGTCTAATTCTTAATTTGATTTGCTTTTATCACCTAACAGGTACAATTTATAACTGTACTCATTTTTAACCGACTTCAAAAAAGAAGTAGGTTCTCAATTTGACCTGTAGGTATGTTTGTGCGCGATTGTCTCACAATAGGGTAGATGCCTAATTGTTATTTTAATGCCCGTCTGGTAGATTATTTAAAAACATTAGACACGTATTTTTTATTTTTTCGAAGATATATTGATTCGAAATGTAGCGTGACGTCACTTCTATGTACATTTTATACGTAGAAATGACGTTTTAGCCCCCACTCCTAAACTTTGATTCGTTATATCTAAGTATCATTTTATTACACAACAAAATAAAAAAATACGTGTCTAATATTTTTTCATTCCCTAACTGACGGACTAATTACATTTTTAATTTTCATACCCTGTCGTCATTCCTATTGGCTGAACCGATTTTGATGTGGGTTTGAAAAAGTTTTTGTTACGGTTGTAGGAGGTTTTAATGTATTAATTAACCGATTTTAAGAAAAGAGGGGATTGATGTCTGTTTTTTTAAACGTATTTTATAAAAGAAATATCACTTGATAAGAAGTTTGTTTGAGGCCTTTTTTTAAGGTCCCCCCTTAGATCACCGAATGACTACTCCCGCCTGGGTGAGTGTCAGACTCTTACTGACTAAAAACCACCCCGTTCCTACTCCTGCACGTCGAGCCGGAGCCCCGATTACCCGTTAGGTTCTCCGCGACGCGAGTGTGTTACGATGAAAGTAATCGAAATCGTTCGCCGGCGCGGCGCTCTGAGGGCCAAGCACGAATAACTATCGCATTCGTATCGTAACAGTATCGAGCGAGTTAAGCGTTCTGATTGGTTGGTTCACTTGAGCCGGCCAATCAGAGCGCCGAACGCGCTCGATACTATTACGTTACGAATGCGATAGTTATTCGTGCTTGGCACTCTGATTGGTCGGCTCCGATAAACCAACCAATCAGGGCAACGAACGCGGTCTTTTTTCGATTACTTTAAATGTGACACTAACTCGTACCATAACCAACTGTCTCGTTGGCCGAGTGTTTGCAAATGCAACTGCCGGGCGAGTGGTCTCGGGTCGGGGAAAGTATTACTGAAATTATTAAAACTACTTAGTAGTAGTAGTCTGGAAATGTGTCCGGTATATGGCAATAGGCTCACCTCCTAATAGGGCTCGTACACAAAACTGTAATGCGACGCGATGCGTATTCGCTACGCAGAAAATTACGATGCGAATTGCTGCGATGCGATTTCGTGCAACCAGGCGTCTCCCAGGGTGACAACGTATTTTAAATTGAAAACTAGATCGTGACGTGGATCGTAAAAAGAAGTGTGCACTTCTGTTATTCCTTAGGAGATACAGGAAAAAGAAACAAGGGGAGATTTTGGGAAGATAAGGTTCTGATGCGCGATGCGAATCAATTCGCAAGTTCTTTCGATGCGTAGAGGGAGCTCGCACATTTTTGCGATGCGATGACGCATCGCAGTTTTGTGTACGAGCCCTTAAATGGGATTCATAACGTAAATAGTGAAAAGTGGGTGTTACTCTGCCTATCCCTTCGGGGATAAAAGGCGTGATGTTATGTTAAGTTACTAAATCGTGCTAAGCCATCAGAAATAACATATTTTTATTACTTAATTCCAGAGTGGACAATTATCCAATTGACTGTGCCGTACAATCCCAACGAGAACTTGAAACCGCTCCTGGAGTATAGAACGGAGGTGGACTCCTTGTACCTGAGCATGTTCACCAATGACTACTTGGAGGACGCCAGGCTGGGACCTATGACTGTTCATGTACCTGCAAATGTTACTAAAGGTATCGTATTATTTTTATTGGTTGTAGGGAATCATCTGATGGTTAGTGATTAGCACTGAACATGGACAGGTGTTTATTTATTTTATTTTTAGCCATGATCGTCCCACTGCAGGGCAAAGGCCTCTCTACCCTCCTTCCTTCTACTCTCCTCTCTATGTAAAGCTTTTTGCGGCCAATCCTTGTCATAGACGTCCAATTCGTCCCGCCATCTCCTTTTGGGTCTGCCGCGATGTCTATTGACGTTGAGTGGGCTCCACTCAGGTGTAGCTAGCCTAATAGTGGAGCGACATTTTTGATGTTTAATGTTCTCACATGACGATGTTATCCTGCGTGTTGCTGGAGTATGTTGGCTAGATACAGCAAAAGATCGAGAAAGATGGCATTCTCTGGAGGAGGCCTTCACCTCAGGGGTTCACGCAAACTAAACTTTTTAACATAAAACATATTTTTTGGAAATGTAGATTTGCTTTTTAAATTGAGAAATATAAGGCTTGTTTTATTAATAATAATAATAGGTTATTTACCATTAAACATACTTAGATATAAATACATGCCTGCAAGTTTTAAAACATAACATAACATCACGCCTTTATCCCTAAAGGGGTAGGCAGAGGTGCACATTATACCACTGTACAATGTAGCACCCACTTTTCACTATTTATGTTATGAGTCCCATGTAATAGGGGGTGAGCCTATTGCCATATACCGGGTACAATTCCAGACTCCGTGCTACTACTGAGATTTTTTTTTAAAACCTAGTAATACTTTGCCCGACCCGGGAATCGAACCCGAGACCCCTTGCCCGGCAGTCGCACTTGCGACCATTCTGACAACGAGGCAGATTTTAAATCTACCTAAAATATATTTTTTTATTTTTCATGTTCTCATTCTTTCAGAGTGTGGACTCCAGACATCCTCTAACCTTCCCATGTTATTGTAAATGTAAATTAAATAAACACATTCTCGTTCGACCCGAAATTTTGAGTCCATCATCCTATGAACAGTTCTCGACAGTTGGCTTTACCTACTTTTAAAATATACTTTTTTTTTTATTTAATTAAAGAAAGATTTGTTTCTATATTTCAGAAGGAGAAAAGCCTCTATTTACCGAGTTGTTCTCGATATTGGATGAGAACTACAAAACTATAGACAATGCTCAGTTTCTGAACAATAAACGCCTTGTACAGAACTACTGGAGTCGGCGGGAGGACATTGACTTGCGGATGAAGGTAACATTGGGTTTTAATCCTAATGTAGAATAATTTTCTTTTTGTCCAACAGCAATCTGTTTGATTCACCAGATCGGTAAACGGATCACCTGATGGTAAGCAATCGGTGTCGCTCATGGACACCTGGAACACCAGAGGCGTTACAAGTGCGTTACCGGCCTTTTGAGGATTAGGAGTTTGAGGATCGTTGGTTGATTCAGGAATAGGGGATATTGGGGAACAAGAGGGTAATTGGGCCTCCGGTAACCTCACTCACTCAACACGAAACATAACGCAAGCGTTGCTTCACGTCGGTTTTCTGCTCGGCCGTGGTATCACTCTGGTCGAGCCGGCCCATTCGTGCCGAAGCATGATGCTAATGTAGCAGGTACTCCTGCTACATTAGCGTTATTTAGTGAGCATGAAAATGTTGCCCCCCTGATATTTAACATAATCTAATTGGACGTTCTCGATTTATACACTATATAGTTAGTATAGTTAACATGATTTACAATTTTTATTATTTTTTCATTCAGAGCGTAATAAATGTAATGGACAAGGAATGGCTGGGCGGCTGGGGCTGCTTGCTGACCGGTAAACTTATAGACAAGAGCTGGAAGGAGAAGATTGTCAAATTAGTTGACAACGCCATATTGGATTGGGGGTAAGTGACAATATATCTGATTTCTTTAAAAAGGTTGGCATTTTAGAATGGAATACCTATAGTTTAGCCAGTTGTTTTTATACCTTTGTCATCATCAGGCTCTATCTTTAGAAGAAAAATGAAGTAAAAGTAATTGTATGATGTTATATTCAATATACTGAACGGTGGCTGGGAAACTGGCTGCCGCTCAGCGCATCGTGGATTCGGTTCCCACACGAAACACATCTTTGTGATCCACAGATTGTTGTTGCGGGTCTGGGTGTCATGTGTATGTGAACTTGTGTGTTTGTAGACGCACTCACGATATAGGAGAAATCCTGGTATGAGGAAATGTTTGTTAAAAAAAACAACTTAAGAATAGATTTCAAAACTTTACACTTATTAGTTTAGCGCACAGTAAAAATTTAATGTAATTTAATCAAGTTTAATATACGTATTTAAAATATTTCTTTTCCAGTTTCATCAGGCTAACACAAAAACAAAAAATCTTACTCTACAACCTAATAGAATGCAGCCCAGTGTTGCAATCACAACAAATTAAATCTTGTATCCGAAGAATATTGACTGAACATGGCAACACTGAAGATGTCAGACAAGTTTTGAATTCAGAATGTGGCAGTTGCACCAAGGAGTTTCGATTTTTAAACGAACTGTGTTTGAAGTGTTTGTCAAGGAGCTTTGAAAAGTTACATCATTTTAGTTTAGTTGATGGTATCAAGGCGTTTTCTCAAACAGCTTCTACAGTCAAAGATGGTGATGAATGGACAGGTTTGAAGAAGGCTAAGAGGCATCCTGTTATTCTTATTGTTGATGAGGTAAGTTTAGAGGTATAATTTACACTTGTGATGTAAGCAGTCTTTATCATAAGGCCACTCGGGGCCCGTGCCCAGGGCTCCCATTCTCACGGGGCCCTGAAGGATCGACAATTTCTACGACGGACACACCCGCTACGGCAACCTTCTGCCGCGCAACGTGTAGCGGGTTCGATTCCGGCACGCAGTAACTCTTTGTGTGATTCGTTGACATTGAACTTTACAATCGATAAATTATTGTTAACTCGCCCAGTTTCAAACGCCAAGGGCTCATGTGTGCGAAGCAGTTACGCTAGCGCGAAGCAGTCGTGCTAGCCAAGGAGGAGGCCGCGCGAGGGGACGAACCTCCTCACGGCCGTCGCGGGAGACACTCCGGGCGTCCGAGATCGCGCGGCGACCTCCGGCCACCGCAAGTGCGGGGCTGCGGACGGTGAGCAAGGGTAGCTCGTCGTCCGACCAGAACCAGTCCCGAGCGTACTTCGCCGAGCGTTCCACGCGCGGCACAAAGAGCCATCAGACCATCACGGATAGGGCCCAGTAGGGCTGATCCCCGAAATGGATCCACGGAAGGCCTACCGGGTTGCCGGGGCTCCGGCTCGAAGAGTAGGAGTAGGAACGGGGTGGTTATTAGTCAGTAAGAGTCTGACACTCCCTCTCGCCTAACCCAAGGCGGGAGAAGTCATTGGATGATTTCCGCCATCAAAAAAAAGGGCTCATAGGTTAAAAGCAGCATCACGCGCCAAACGACGCGGCGAAGGTCCCGCAGCTAAGCCGTACTTGCTTTTTCAAAATGTTACCTCTGACAACTTTTTGTTTTTAATTCCAGAGGCTAGACACATTCCCATGGGAAACGATACCCATACTGAACCAGCACCCTGTATCTCGGATGGAGAACATTCACTTTTTGTACTACCTGTATAAAGTGCATGAAAATAATATTGTCGATGGATACTATGCGGCCAAGTGTGACGTCGGAAGATATGTTATAAACCCAGGTAAATTAATTAATCGTTAAAATAAAATATAGACATGTTATAACTTTCGTGAGACATACTAAATAAATTATTATGTTTTCGGCTTACTCACGTAATTATTTGACGAGGAACTCGACTAGTTTCAAGCCATGATAAAGGCTCGTATTCATGAGGAGCATTCCGCGACCGGTATTCGCGGGTAAATAATTACGTGAGTCAGCCGAAAAACTATGTAATTAAAATATTGAAATGTACAAAAGCTTTAATGCCAGTCCAAGTTCTATTACAAACAAATTCGAAATATTCAATATGGTGGATTCCTAAATTTTATTTTAATATCCGTCTGGTAGATTATTTTAAAACATTAGACAAGTATTTTTTTCATCACAAAATTAAATGCTTTCGACGATATATTGATTTGAAATGTCGTGTGACATCACAGCGTGCTACAAAATGTACCACGTTGTGACGTAACTACCTCTATCCTCCTAAAATTAACTCCATTTTATCTAAGTATTGCAACTTAACTCGTCGAGTACCGTCTATGTAGACACAATTATAGAACAATAGGTTGCGGTCACCGGTGACCGCTTGGTGTTTGACAGTTTAATACGAGAAAATAAAAAAATACGTGTCTAATATTTTTTCATTATCTAACTGACGGACTAATTAGATTTTTAATTTTCTTACCCTGTAAACTACCCAATTAACAAACTTCAAACCAAAATGAACATTTTTCATGTCATACATTTGTACCAACTTTGAAACGAAAGAGTTATTGTGTTAGATTGTTCGTTTTATTTTTATGTAAGTATGTTCGCAGATTTTCCTGGAACTTCTGTATCGATTTTAAACTGTCAAACACCAAGCGGTCACCGGTGACCGCAACCTATTGTTCTATAATTGTGTCTACAAAACCGGTACTCGACGAGTTAATTATTTTCAACGTCTTGTAATAAAGTCGATAATCCTATGCCAATTCTTCCAGAAAAGAACCTCGATCGCATGGAGAACCGTATGACCTCGTTCGTGGAGTACTGGTGTCCTAACTGGAAGGGTCATGTAGGCGAGGCTCCGTCTCCAGCAGACTTCATCTCACATATCAGTGAAGCTGATGTTTTCTTGTGAGTATATTATCTATCAATGTTTATTATTTATTTATTTTGTTTTTAGCCGTGGTCGTTACACTGCAAGGCAAAGGCCTACCTACCCTCCTTTCACTCCCCTCTAATTATAGCATTGTTAATATGCTATTGCTATGATTTTTTACACCTGCAGCTGTAGCCAAATGCCATTTAGCGTTTGTCTACATGTAGAATAGAAAACCAAATTATATGGAATTGACGTATATTTTGACACTTGTCAGTGTCATCCCCATACATTTTGATTTCTACTCTCTCTGTAGACAAGCGCTAAAGTGGCATTTGGCTAGAGGCCCTGTATAGACGTTGTTTTCTCTACTATTAATGTCAAAAATTGGACCACTGAAATAGAGAATAGGTACATTTATTTATTTAGTTTACGACAATTTCAATTCTTGTCTTCGGTGTGCTTCGAGCTACGTAGTCTTGGTGTATTATGTTCTCTATGTCGATATATTGCCTTATTGCTACACACTGCCTTTTGTTAATAAGAGTCGGGACCAAAAGTACATTGATATTTTATTTTGTTGTTGTTTTACTTGTACCTTTTATGCATGTGGTGTTTAGCTTTAAGTGATGGTAACACTAAAGTATGTATCTATTGCATTTATCTAAAATTAGAGCTAGCATGCACAATTGTTGGTGAACCAATAAAGTGTGGGAGAGCCATGCTTCGGCACAAATGGGCCGCCTCGACCGGAGTGATACCACGGCCTCATAGAAAACCGACGTGAAACAACGCTTGCGTTGTGTTTCGTCGTGTGAGTGAGGTTACCGGAGGCCCAATTACCCCCTCCCTAGTTTCCCGAATCCTCGAATCCTCCACATTCCTCAAATTCCCAATTCTCAAATGGCCGGTAACGCACTTGAAACGCCTTGGTGTTTCGAGTGTCCATGGGCGGCGCTGATTGCTTACCATCAGGTGCTCCGTCTGCTCGTTTACCGGCTTATGCCATAAAACAAAAAAAAAAATTTAATATTCTTAACAACAACTACCTAACCCGGTAAACTTCGTACCGCCTAAAAACTTTTTCTCACTTTTTAAACCTTCCGTGGACGTCCACGAACATGTCAAGATTAAAATTAGCCAAATCGGTTCAGCTGTTCTCGATTTTTAGCGAGACTAACGAACGGAAATTCATTTTAAACTAAAAATCTTTTACTTACAAATAATATAAAGTTTAATTAAATAAATATCAACTTAAAATAAATATAAACAACTTAAGATATAAATAACATTTTAAATAGATAAATATGGTATGTGATATTTAGTATTGTGAGGGGTAACCTTTTAAGGCTTATGATCAGAAATTTCAACTTCACTTTGTCACCCACTTGATTACTTGTGATATGAGACATTTTTAGTGTATTATATTTTTTTGTATTGTATGTCGTATGTGTATAAGAGTCATGGCAATTGGCGTCCCTGCCTACCCTTATGTATGTATGTCGGGTCCGAGTGGTGTCAGTGAACATGTAGTCCCCCCCAGATACTGCGGGCACGGCGACGGCTGCCAGCTGGCGGCGGGCGCGGGCGGCGCGGGCGGCGTGGAGGGC